GGCTGTTCACCTGAGCACCCCAGGTTTTAACAACCAAAGCTCTTTCTTTTCTCATTGAGAAATGAATGTAAATAGCTCAGTCTTTTTCTCCATAGCTTATTTTGCTTTTTTAGTTCTGAGAATGACCACAGAGATTTTACAAATTTTATGCTAATCTGAGAATTGCTTTGTGTTGGGAAACACTGTGCTAGCTGAGTCACTCATTTGAGTGATGTGTCACAGAGAAATGAAGTGACTAGTCTAAAGTCACACAAAAATGGCAGTATGTAGTATAAATACAGACTTGACTATGTTTTGTTTTTCTAAAAAGGAATTTCAGGCTATGTAGATGTAAGATACTTATAATTTGTAGTTTTATTTATTTATTTATTTTGAGGCAGAGTCTTTCTCTGTCACCCAGGCAGGAGTACAGTAGCGCAATATTGCACTGCAACCTCCACATCCTGGATTCAAGTGATTCTCCCGCCTCAACCTCCCAATTAACTGAGATTATAGGCATGAACCACCACGACTGGCTAATTTTTGTACTTTCAGTACAGACAGGGTTTCACCATGTTGGCCAGACTGGTCTCAAACTCTTGACCTCAAGTAATCCACCCACCTTGGCCTCCCAAAGTACTGGGATTATAGGCGTGAGCTACTCTGACTGACAATATTTATAATTTTTAGATGTGATAATACATTTACCCTAAGGACCATATTCCTAAATAAAAAATCTTAAGGTAATTTTAACCCAAAATTTTTGTTACTAATAATTTAAATTACTTTTCATAGACATTAATTATGATGGAAAAAAGTTTATATTCTGTCTCTCTATACTCACACATAAACTCACATACACACACACACAAATATTCTACTTGAATATACAAATACAGTTTCAATCATAACATTTTACCATGACACAATTGTAGTCAGCCACCTAAATGAGGTTTGTTTTCTATAGCTTTATGTTGGTAAACTAACAATTAAATTCAAAGTAACTGGGTCTGCTGTCCTTAGGATCCTCTTTGTACATGCATTACACTTTGTAGTCCTTGGAAATTCATTTAGCACATTGCAAAATATCAATCTCTAAAGTGTGAAAAGAATTTAGTAGTCTATACCAATTATTTGAACCTGATCTAACATAGCTAATAAATACAGGTTGTTAAAATGGTCTCTACCACCCACTGCATAAAACTGAAATAAATTATGTAGCCCTGAACTGAAAATCAGTATATTTTTAAAATTTTGCTCAATTTTGAAGAGAGTAATCAAAATAATAAATATTTGGAAAACACACCTTTATTGTCACCTTTACTGCCATTTTCCTAGTAGCTGCATTGTTAGCACTATGGGATCATTAAACTTTATATTTCAATTACTTAACTATTAAAATACTTTGGATAGGGAGTCTCTTTAGAGACTACATTCATTCAAGTTTTCACCAATTTAATTTTTTTAAATGTACAAACCAAACTATAAATATTCTCTCTTGTCCTGTATTCACATTGGCTGATATATAAAGACCCTTGCTATTTTCAGTTGATAATACAAATCCTAGGAGAACTAGATATGCAAAACTTTGTTCTTTACAATTTCGAAGGAAAAATTTGATACACAGAATGAAGCAACTTTATAGCCCTGGTAATATTTTTTAATGAGATAAAACGATGCCAACCTTCACAAGCTATTTTTAAAAGTAAATATTTGCATTTTCTGTATTTATAGTAACACTTTACTGCTTTAGGAAAAGCTGTATCCTTTGGCTTTAAATTCTCTTTTCCGAGTACATATTGAGAAGAAAGTAAATGATTCAGTTCAACCAAGCACACTGATCCACTCAAAGTATGATGATTGAGATGTATGTACCCCTTATACTTGTGTCATATATCATATTAATTATTCATAACTATCTACTCTATTTCTCTTTTATAGATATGAGCAATTTTTACTGCCCACGTTATTAAAATATTATTCCTCATTTTATCAGTATGGTATGTGCACATGGACTTCTCAGAATTAAAACTTGCAAAACAGAGACAAAATTATTTTATTTAAAAATTGCATACTATATTTGTATGAAGGCTCACAAACACCTTATTAATCTCAATGTTTTTAAAAAATTCCTCAAGAGAAAAAACAAAATGGATATTATAACCATATTTAGGTCATGGTAATTGAATGTAAAGTTAGGCGGAAAGTAGAATTTTTAATTTAATGCAATTTTTATTTCTTCAAGGCACTATCTTAGAAAATTAGCATATGGTGCTAAATTTTGCAATTAAATATTTATGGCTTTATTGGGTAGAGTTTGGTGTTTTGATTTTTTTTTCTTAAAAAAATCTACCTCACAAAAATGTCTTATAAATATATTAATGGTTATCTGTTTGCTAAACTAGTGATATGTTATATTTATGAAAACAATGTCAGGATAAAATTCAGTATACCTTTACTATTCCAAAAACACTGTAAACTTGGGCAAATCACTGCCCTCTCTTGGCTTTATTTTGTAGAGAAGTTTTGTCCAAAGGAATATTTCTTAACAGGAGAAATTTTACTCCGAGTGACAAAGAAGTAAGAAGTAATTAGGGTTTTCGCTATAACAATTTCTAAGTGTTTGCTTTTCCTCATTGTTTACATATGCCTATAACTGTAATACACCATTCTGTCAAAAAGCGGGGTGACCCCTGTAATGCTTGTTTTTGTGTTAAAACAAGTTGAAATTCATTTAAATGTAGTTTTATAGCAACCCCCTCCTCATCCTAAATGGATATATGATCCTAAACGTATAGCCTACTTCTTTCCATGTTTTAGGGCACAGAAAGGTTGAGCTACTTTAGTTAGGAATCCCATTTTGACTCAACAGAATTATTACAATATTTAATTACATGCTTCATAATTTAATGCCTTAACAACACATTCATTTCCAACAATACTAGTGCAATTTCATGAAATTAAGCGTCAATCTATATAACACATACAATATCAAAATGTGTTTTTAAACACACCTTTTAATTAAATGAACCATCTTTTAAACTTGTTCCTATCATGGTAATGCCTAGGGTTTTTGACAGAATAATCTGTGAAATTTAAGATATCTGGAAAAGTTTTAGAACCTTGGTTCTCAGTTCCTAGTTCTTTAAGAATGTTGCTTTCTTCTTGGTGATTCTTAAAAATAAAAATCAGCATTCGACTCCAAAAGTTAAGAGAAAATGAATTAATGCGTCTATATTTTTCTTTTCTTTTTATGTTAACAGTCTTTCAGAGGATCACAAAATATAAGGAGAACCCAGAATACAACAGAATGAACTTGCGTTACTAATATTCAAGTATATTGTATAAAAGTGGGCCTGCAATAAAAACATCAAGCCTTGATAGACTTTTATAGAAAATCTTTTATTCTCTTTAATTTTTAAGGGCAATTGCTTATACAATTTCTTTTTAGGGATTTATTATCTGGGATTACTTCTCTTATTTTCAATGATACACAAAAAAGGAGAAAATAAACTCTTTGAAGAACAGTTCAATAGTCCAAATTGTACTGAGTTAGAGATTATTTCAAATTCAGTGCTCTGTCTGAAAACATTTTCATTAGCATTTGCAGTTAGGCCTATGGAAAAATTGGAGTATATACTATCAAAGAGCAAATTATATTTTCCAATGGTTATAACTAGCATTAGAAAGGGCAACATCTTTAATTACTCATTAAAACTCTCCTTTGAAAGGATAATCATCTAAAGTCAGACACTAAGACATTATATTGCCAGAATTTAACCTCTGTTCACTAGTTCTTTCTAGCAACAAGTCCTTGATAGTCAGTCTTTCACATAATAATCAACTTTACCAAGAAAAGAATAATTTACATCCAGTATTACTTATAGGCAAGCTGAAAACTTGTGACTATTTTTCTACTCATTAACATGTTCCTGTAAGTGATCTTTAAAATTAAATAATCAGAAACTGGGTCCAAATTTATTCTTATAAAAACAAAAATAATATAACATGGAAGGTATGCCTTCATTTGAGGCTGTTACAGAAAGGGAGGATACCCAGAACTCAACCTCTCTCCTTTTATTTATAAATATTTGTATCACTCAATTTTGAAAAAGTTTAACAAGAATGCATATCATTTCTTTTGGGGATGACAGCAATACTGACAAACAATCCCTGTTATAACTACCATTTTGTTATTGCTAAATCATCCACAAAATCATGACCTGATTTTAGTTATCAGGGACAAAGCCTAACATGGAATTGAAGTTTCATTCTGATTACACACAAATAGCCAGTGCATAAAACCCTTTGAAACAGGATCTGTATCTCAGTAATTAAGAAAAAATAAAGAAGGAGGAAGATAAAGGAAGGAAAGGAAGGAGTAAAACAAGTAGGAAAGAACTAAAAAAAAAAAAGAAAGGAGCCTTAGGAGCCTGATACAATTACACAGTAGGCCTCTGACATTCTCTATGCTGGTATAATAACTAAATGGCAAGTAACATGGGTGTGAGATCCCTGTTGCATGCTTTCATTAAAACTAAAAATTTACAACAAAATCAACCCTCGGGAAAATTGCTCTTTGGTTTAAATCTTCATTACCTTCTGGAATTTTGGTAAACTCACTTTATTTTTAAATTAAGCTGGCCCTTCTTCTTTACTCCATTACAAAAGTCAAACACCAAGAACCAGACAGAAATTCAGAACGAAGAGTTTTGTTTGCGTGTTTTTAAGTCCAACCCCTGTATACAAATTGTTAAAAAGCAGATGTGTTTAACATAGTGCTTTATTCCAACTTATCCTTGAATGAACTTCCTTCAAGTTTCAACCATTAAACAACAACAACAAAAAGCAGTCAATTTCCTGGTGGTTGTAATTTAATTAAGTAACCTTTCACACTGAGCAAAACCCAAAAGCAAAAGGGTCATTAATCTTTCTAGTGTTTAGAGACACCTCTAGGGCTTCAAACATTTACCTCTCCTTCCCCGCAGTAGAAATGCTTTTAGGAGGATCATGGTTCATACCTCACATTCCCTGGAGCCAGAGATGGTATATGTGCAGGGCCCAGATCCATTAACCGATATATCCATGGTCTCAGAGTTTGTAGGCTTGTAGTCCACATAATACTCCTGTAAAGGGGAATTCATTTGTCTTTCAGACTCTCTGGCCTTTTTCCGCCGCCTCTTCATAAGAGAGTGTTGCTGGAGTTGTTTCATGCTGGCTGGGTAGCGTTTCCAAGACACATAGATCACCAAGAGGATCATGGCCACTGAGAGAAAGAGAGCCACACTCCCTGCAATAATTTTGTGAAATGAAACATGCTCATACTCTTGCTCTGTGCCAGGAATCTGAAACCCTGGGGAGGGGCTTGGTGTTTCAAAGGTGGGTTGGGTGGCATCAGGTTTGAAGATGGTAGGTTTAGGGATAATCAGAGGTTTCTGGGGCGTTTGGGGCACCAGGTGTGATCTTTCTGTGTTGACCACCTGGATTTCAGAACAGATATTATATGTTTCCACTGCATCACTAACCTTTTCACCCTGGAGGTGCTTAGGTCCTGCACATATCATGGTGCTTTCCTTATTTCCTTTGAAATTCTTAAGCCAATAAAATAAAGGACAAATGCTCCGACTGCATTCCCACATATTTCCAGACAAGGTGATGGATATTAATGATATCCATGCATTGACAGTTTCCTGTGAGATGTTGGTGAGCTTGTTGGAATCCAAATTCAATTTTTGTAAATTGGGGAGGCATTTAAATGTGCCTGGCTCAATTCCTTGGATGTCATTCCCTGATAAATCCAAGTTGTGTAAGGAACTCCAAGTCCATGTCAAGCCTTGGCTAATGGAGCGAATCCTGTTCCATTGTAAGTAAATTGATCGGAGGTTGAAGAGACGTGGAAAATGAGCAAAGTTGATCTTGGAAAACTGGTTGTGCTCCAAGTGGAGCTCCTTTAACTTCAAGAGGCCAGCAAATGCATTTCGGGACAAGCTTCGAAGACGATTGTAACCCAAATCCAAAAAATCAAGATTCCGACAGTCTTGAAAAACTCTTATGGGCACAGTCTTTAGTGAGTTAGATCTCAAGTGCAAAATGATGAGTTTCCGAAGGCCTTTAAATTGTTCAGATTGCAATGTCTGAAGTTTATTGTAGGAGAGGTCCAGATTGCGGAGATTGGGAACTGGGTGAAATGTTTTATTGTGCAGATAAGTAATTTTGTTGGAGCTTAAAATTAATTCTTTCAGTCTACGGATCCCTTGAAATGCATCTTCATCCACTGAGCTAATGTAATTATGGTCAAGATAAAGCCATATAAGCTGGTTAAGGCCGGCAAACTGATTGGATTTGAGTTTCTGAATGCTATTGAACCTTAATGATAAGCCTTGTGACCCTCCAGAAATGTTCTCGGGGATATCTGCGAAAGCATGAGACTCACAGTACACAATTTTGCCATCGCATCTGCAGTTCTTTGGGCAAGCTCTCTGAGCCCCCGTGAGCATAACAAGCAGCAGTGTAGGAAGTAGCACCAGCGCCACACTCATGCCTTTCAGCTGCGTAATTAAATGGAAACCTACGATATTAAAAAGAAGACAGATGCACATTGTGAAGCTATTAAAATAAATCACCATAGATTTACCAATATCAGGGGCATTTCCTCTAGTGTAGGAATGGGATAGTTGCTTAAGGAAAATGCATCAACATTTCAAGCATTATTTTCTTCAGTGTTGCATGTTTGCTGTTTAGGTTTCACTTTTCTTCCTTGGTCTTCAAATCACCACAGTCCCATAGAACTAAGAAAAGCCTTTTTGAGTTTTAGGAGTTCCTACTTATTTCAACATTGAAAAGCACAGAGCCTTTCTCATTACTGAATGCTGACATTTTAGTAACAATAATATTTAGCTAACCACTGTATTGAACAACAGTACGAAAAGGAAGTATACTACATACTCTGGTAAGCGCAAAAATGTGACTTAGTAAACCCGGTACTTGTACGTCTTTCCTAGATGAGCAAACAGGCTGTGATTTGGCAAAAGAGCTTCGGTAAGCTGTCAAGGTAACCCAAGTTTGCCCTGCCTGAAATTGTGTGCTTATTGCATAATGGGATGGCAATATATGAGCTCTGAAAAAACAGCATTGAGACTAGTATAGCCAGCCAATGAAGCATTGGATGAAGACTAATAACAGTATGAGGTGCTCTAAATTTGTTAATAAGCATAGATTGTTGCATACTGTGGCTCCCTGCCCAATGACACAGGAGTTAAAACATCTAAACACTCATAACGGAGAACATTCCAAAGTTAAGACTGTCAAAATTCTTATTAAATATTTGCCTAAAAAGCAAAATAATATTGCATAGTATTACTTTGTCATTATTTTAAACGTAGTTGCTTTTGCAAATTTGAAGGATAAACAAGGAAAGAAGCAGCGAACTACTATTTTTCTCTACATCACCCTGACCTGTTCACATTTCTCACTGACTTTTTTTTCCCCTACCTCCATTAACTTCAGAAAGCCTGCAAAGTTACAATCTATTGGCACTTACACTGCATTTCCAAGTCATTGCATGTTAAGGGACTTCTTTCTTCTGTCAACTGTAGATTTATTATTTCTTAATGGAGAAAAAAAAGAAACAACTACCATGTGCTGCAGTTTCTTTTTTTTCTTTAAATTTTTATATTTTTAACCAAGAGGCAATCAGCCAAATTCCTAATCTCAAACCCATCCTTCTTCTCAAACAGTTTTTTTTTTTTTTTAAATTTAAAACCCGATCTTGCTCTCTGTCCTCTTGCCAGCTACAGACTCATTGAAATACATTCTAGCTCTCCCAGACAGGAGAAAGGGGGGAGGAAAAGCCAGTCACACTTGAAAAAATAAGACTGGCAAATGACTGCTGGAAATTCGGAAGCTGTGTTAGGGATCCAGCTTCAAAGACAAAACAAGCCCTGTGCAACCTCTGATAAAGTAAGGACCCCACCCCTACACACACGCAGCAAAGTGTTAATAATCATCCTGTGAGCTACCAGAAATACAAGCCTAGCTAATATTATCAAGAAATAGAAGCAAACACAATATTTATCTCATGCTCAATTCCCAAACTGTGGATAAGCAGACAGTAGAGACCGTCTTAAAGATATTTCTCTAGAGACTGTTTAAGTTCGTGTTGTGCATTTATAGATTTAAAAAAACACTGCAAAAGGGAAAATGATCTAAAAATATAATAGCAACTATAGTGAATCAACTGGCAAACTCAAAGGCTGCTGCTCTTTGCCTGTTTCTCCGTCTTTTATCTGCTAATGCCAGGACTGAGGATAGGAAGCCAAGAGGATCAGCTTTGCTAAGAAGGAAACAACAAAAGTTCACTTACCCATCCTTTGTCATCCAAAAACGTTTCCCCCCTTTCTCAGCTTTCTTCTTATTTAGTCTCTCGTGCTGAAACCACCACCACCTTCATGACAGAGTGCGGCTGTCATTCACACCATTCTGATCTTGCATGTGAGCTAGTAGCCCCATACAAACTTCCCCGAGAGGACAGGCAAAAAAAATAAATATATATATATATATATATATACACATATATATCAAAAAAATCAGCACAGGGTGGGATGGTGGGTGGGGGGTGGGCAAGGAAAAGGAAGCCGTTGAGGGGATAGGGAGGGGGGAGGGCCTCTAGGCTCTGAGGACCATTGTGTAATTCACCAGAGACCCATCAGCAGTAATTGGCAATCTGTGCAAAAGAGCTACAGCCCATCTCGGAGGTAACCAACTTCTCTGTAAAAAGAGAGGAAAAAAAGAAAATCTTCAGAATACCTGGCATTCCTTATTGTGCTGGCTTTTGCCATTCCCAGATAAAGCAATTCATCCTCTGGATTTTCAGTTCTTGAAGCAAGTAGGCCTCCTGTGCTGTATGAGACCCCAGTTTAAAAGCTATGCAGGCTAGGTTTATCCATTTAGCTGGTCAGGTTTAAAGTGTTTTGTAGCTGTGCTGAGAGGCAGCCCTTGTCTAATTCAGAAGGCTTTCCAGAGACTGATGATGCTCAGAGCTTGTTGGTGCTAATGCTTGAGTTTGTGATACACTGAGTGCCCTCCGCTGGAGAAAACAGATTGCACATTAAAGACGGGAACAAGTGAGCCTGTCAGTGCTGTGCAGCCTTCCCTTGCTCAGAAAGGGAAATTAAAGGCACAGAATCACTATTTTTTTCTCTCCAATAATTTAAAAGGTTTATGCCAAGGAGTTCCTTTTAGTTATCGCAAATATTAAGTAAAATACTACTTCTCTAAATGGTATGCAATTAACAGGTTTTTAAAAGTTGTCTTGACCTGAATTTTTTTTCTGCACAAGTCACTGGGGATTTATCATCTTTTGCAAATTACAGAAATCGTTGAAATTAAACTTTTATTCACTGTTGCTGTTGGTTTGTTTTATTTATTTACATTGTTTTAAACTAACCACCTATGGAAGCAATCTTACTCGAGAGAAAAATGAAATTTTATCCATTTTAAAGAGGTTACATTTTTATTAAGTTTAATTTAAAAATCCTCAACCTTTGACAATAAAATGCATTTTACAATATTGTGCATTTTACTGAACGGTCTAGAACATTACTTTCTAAAACTTCACATTTTTAGTCTTAAAGTAGTTATAATCTGTAGTATGTTACTAAATGTGAAGGTAACTAAGAGATAAGAGTAGAATTCTGGCTTGATGTTCTTAGCGCAGCCACTTTCCTTAAATCATCTACATTTAGAATGCAGATCATTTCTTATGCAAATCACTTATTGTAATGTGCAATTCCAGAAAAACAAAAGCACTTGAGTTCTACATTATCATGGCATTACTCTAAAATGCGTAGAACATCCTCAGATTTAGAAAGGATGATATGATAAAATACCTGATATAAGTAATTTAAAAGAACCTGCATACTTTCCTTAAGCCTGAACAGACATTGAAAAACGTACATCTAGTGCATCACCTCCATTTTGTTCCTCATTTTTACTAGTTTATTCCATAATCCTCTGGCAGATAACAATTTTTAGAATAATCCAGGAGAATGAATCAATGTAATGCAGGGAGAGACTGCTAGGTAAGATTGCTAACCTAATTTAGCAGATGTGAGAAGTTTAAATAAATTTTACATAAGAATTTAGAATTGCTGTGGATCACTGCAAATAGATATTTTTATTTAGAAAGATGCTTGGTTTTAGATTGTTTGCCAAAATATTAATAATTAAGGGGGCTTATCATATGAATAACACATATAATTTGACTCAGATTTATGAGTAAGCAGTTGCAAGCAATTGTCTCATTACTAAGATTTCTTGAGAAACAGAAAGGAATAATATGTCCCCCAAATATATTCCTTTCTCACTAACTGATACTTGAATTTCTATTTTAGAAATGTGTGCCTTTGGCTTAAGGCTTAATACCTATTAAAATGCAAATGCACGCCAAAAGAGGCAGGATTATTGTGGTTGCCGGAAATAAATATATCAATATAAATGTACACATACGATTTGTTCACGGTGGTGAAGTTTAACATAGAAACACAAACCCCACCCAAATATCAATGCTAGAGAATGAGTGAAGGGAAAATTAATATATTCATAAAATGGAACACATGCTGCCATTAAAATTAAAATAAAAGGTCGTATTTGCTGATGGGGAATTAGACTACCATGTATAAAGTAAGGAAGGTAGGAGCAGAGAACTGAGATATTTAAGGGCAAAGAAAGAGAGTCTATTACTGTAAACAGAGCAAAATAAAATATTCAGAGTAGATTTTCCTGGAAGATGGATTACAGAAGTATTTGATTTCATATTTTATTATAAAATTGTTTTCTAATTTTAAATATAATGAATATGACATGTGTGATATCTATCAATATATGTGTGTGTGTATAAATTTTTCTTTGTGTCAATTTAGGATATGAAAACAGCTTTGATAGAATGTTGGGAAAATCCCAGTATATTCTCTACATCCATAGTGTAATAACTGGCACAGCCATAGTGTAATAACTGGCTGAAATGCAAATTTTGTTCAAAGTACCAAGATCTAACAGATGCTACCTTCTGAAGTAGGTACTAGATTATATGCAGAATTTACAAAGAAAGTGGCCAAAATCTCTTGAAAACACTGTAATGATATAAAAAGTAAAGAAAGTTGAAAGTAGTAGAGGACGTTGTGTGTAAGATCTGCTTGGAAGAAGCTGTTTTGGTACTATCTTTACACACACACACACACACACCCTTTACCCAAGAAAAAGTGGTGTTTTGTTGGCTCCTCAGCTTAACTATGGTAATAGGGACTTCCACAGGCACCTTGAAGAGCTTGCTGTGTGTTGCCCACAGTGAGGCTAGCAGAATGGGATTGAGGGACTGTGTTAAAGAAAAACTTCTCTTCCTGGGTCCTCGAGGGCCACAGTTTCAAAGTAAGGAGATTCCCAGCTCCACGCCTCCATCAGGAAATGTAAAGTTCTTTGGGTTTCCCACATTCCCTAGCTATAGAAATCCTGGTGAAGCTCCTTTGCCTCAAAAAACTCTCCGAAAGCTCTGGGAGGAGGGGGCTCTAACTCAGAGTTGTGGACCAAGTAGCCAATCCAGTATCAGAGTCAAAGATCAATCACTCAAGAGGAAGTTTGAAAGAACTTCTCTCACTGGACAAGAACATAAATGGGACAGGAATAACTCAAGGGTTAAAATCCCGCGGCTCCCTGGTATATGGATTCCTTCTCTGGATCCCCTCCCATGGCAGCGTGGGAGCTGTCTTTCTCTCTCTTTCTGTGTCTAATAAATCACTTTTCTGCAAAACTCTTTGGGTCCACGATATTTATTCAAATGGCAAACTCATGGTGCCTCCTGGGGCTCCTTTTCCCATTCTTCCGGATAAGAGAGGCCAAGAACCTCTTGGAACTGGGAGGAAGATGAGAGCTTTTTGGCCCGCCTCCTCCCCTCCCCCGCCCCCCTTACAGGATGGTATCTGATTTCTGTTGGTTTATCCAGAGGATAAACAATGGGTTTTCCAGAGCAAGGGAGAGTTAGTGTTGTGTTGAAATTGAATTTCATTTTCAATGTTTGTCTAGATAAAAATAGGTACATGTGTTTTCCATGGAAGAGAGGAGGGCTATGTGGGAAAGAGAGTCAGTTTGGAGCTGTTATAAATCCTGATGAGACCCCTCAACCCACAACAGTCTGCGTGAGTGCATTGCCAAATCAGGCAAACAGAAAACAAACAAACCAATCAAGTGTGGACAAGCACCACATAAAACCAGCTAAAAGGTATATTCTTTGTCTATTGTTGCTAATAGAGCTGCTAAGGATCTATCAATGCATTCATAAAAAAGAAATATGTTTCAACATCTCTTAGGCTCAGAGATCACAAATCCTTTTTACAATAATACCAGTCAACCAAAACTGGTATTATTAAATAACAACCAAGCAGTTATTTAAGTGTGGGAGGTCAGTAAGAATGAGAGAAGTTGACTATACTTCCACTTTTTTTCTAGGTAGGAAATAGCCCATTTGCACCTGGTCCTACTGAGAGAGTGGGGGAAAATTCTTTCAATTTACATAAAGTATTGATTAACATGATGGACTTAATATTTTCATTTACCAACTTGAGCCTTTATGTACTAAGAAGATAACAGGATTTCTTTGTTACCCCAAAGAGCATTTAGAGACCACACCTTGGGTAACTTGAAATTGACAATGTTAAAAGTATTTACAACATAGAAATGGTTACGAGCAGTGAATCTGTATCCAAATGGGTCTGCAGCAACTTCAGTTCTTGCCTCCTCAGAAGAATTCCACCTAGAAGGCAGAAGGAGAAACCCAGCCAAGTCTTAGAGCAGAAATGAAAGTTTATTAAAAAGCTTTAGAGCAGGAACAAAAGGAAGTAAAGTATGCTTGGAAGGGGGCCCAGTGGGCCACTTGAAAGACAAGTGCCTGGTTTGACTTTTTGACTTATATGTTGCATACTTCTGGGGTCTTGGGTTACTGCTGTCCTGATTCTTTTCTTGAGCTGTCCACGTGTGCAGCGGCCTGCTAGAACTTGGGAGGGGAGCATGTGCAGTGTGTTTACTGGAGTTCTAGGCATGGTCCCTTGCAGCTTTCTTCCCTTACTAGTAGAATGTTCCTAAGGGAAGGTCATATACCAGTTAAACTCCGTCATTTTGTTTCTAATGTTCATGCTTGAGCCAACTCTCCCAGCTTCCTGAGGTCTTAAGAGGAAGTGGCTGATCACTAGTTTCATGTGTTTTCTATCTACTGGGAGACTGCCTTTCCCGGGCACTGGCTGTGACCAATTATTATTTTAAAGAGACAGTTAACAACTGCCTGATCATCACCTGATGGTCATCTGACATTTTCTGGGTTGCTGAGGGGAACCCTCTCCTGCCTTGTTCAAGTCTGACTAGCTGCCTACTGTAATGAAATCAGCAAAGGTTAAAAATTAAGTGTGATTGCTGGGTGCAGTGGCTCACACCTGTAATCCCAGCACTTTGGGAGGCTGAGGTGGGTGGATCACCTGAGGCCAGTAGTTTGAGACCAGCCTGGCCAATGCAGTGAAATCCCGTCTCTACTAAAAATACAAAAATTAGCCTGTCATGGTGGCATACGCCTGCAGTCCCAGCTACTCAGGAGGCTGAGGAAGAAGAAGTGCTTAAACCCAGGAGGTGGAGGCTGAAGTGAGCTGAGATTACGCCACTGCACTCCAGCCTGGACAACAAGAGCAAAACTCTGTCTCAAAAAAACAAAAAACAACAAACTCATGTCATTGATAAACAAGTGATATATCAATATATGTCTGTCTTGTTTCACTTTTGTCTCACTCATTAATTTTTAAAAATCAGACAATACTTATATTGTAATTACAGTTGAAAAGCCAGTTGTTAAACGTTTTTATCAGCACACTATTATACCTAGGGTTAATATATTTATTATTCCAAAAGTGAACTTGTTTTAACAAACAAATGCTAGTGATGGCCTGGATTTGAAGAATAAATCTCCTCTTTCTTACCCCAGACACAACTGAATGTTAAGAGAAAAAAAGGCAACTAAATAAAACACTGCATGTGCGTAACAGTAGGCTCCTTTCCAATTCTGACACTCCTTGCTTACAATATTTTTCCTTATAAAAC